TGGGAACAGAGTGGCCATTTTTAGCTGGCTAGTTCGGATGTCTTTGAACAGGGCCCTGGAATCTGTGAGGATAAACAGGAGCTGGCGGGGCTGGGCTGTGTTTGACTTAAAATTGGAAACACAGGAATCAGAGGAGTAGCTTTATATATGTCTGTGAGGTCCAAGAGCCCTGAGCATTGATTTATGAGGAGGCTTGGTGAAAGCACATGAAAGCAGAGGTAATATTTATAAATTCCTTCCCCCAAGGCTGGATGGAATGTTCTTCTGCACTGCAGTCAAATACCACCTTTTGGGAGGAGTGTGTGTGTGTGTGTGTGTGTGTGTGTGTGTGTATAAATCTAATTATTCGGTGACTGAAAGGAAAAGAAAATGTTAGTCAGGAGCAACTGCCTCAGAGTCTTTGTCATGAAGGAGCACTGGGCTAGAAGGGAGCCTTAACCCGTAGGCCTGGATTCCTCTCTTATATTCTCATGATCTCCCTTCAGCTCAAGGACTAGTTGGTGCTCCAGCCTCAGGTTTCCACTTTCCCTAATTCAAGAAGACTGAGGACTTAAACCTGGCAGTTGGGGTGACATAAGTTTACAAACAAGCAATCGTCCTTGAGGACGAGTTCTTCGGCAGTACTGAGAAAGAAGGGCAAAGGAGGAAAAAGTGGAGGAGAAAGGAGGTGGAAGACATTTATAGTGGTGCCCAGGTGGTTTTGAGCCCTGAGGGCATTTTGCAAGTGAACAGGCTTCTGTGGAGGAAACCAAGTCAAAGGAACGGATGCCTTGGCATGGAGGTGCCAGTCTATGCTGCTGCCATTCATGTAAGAGCCTCTTATCTATGTACCTTCTGGATAGATTGGTCAGGGCTGGTCTTAAACACTCAGACATCACAACCCTAGGCAGAGAGAGGGGAATCATCAAGTGTCCATCTACTCACATGCCCTCTTTGCTGGGTCTGGTATCCTTTGCCCCAAGTCAGCTGGTTAGGAGGGCCAAGCAATGAAATTGAGCAAGGTGCATTCAGATTGGCCAGTGTGGATGATAAAGGGAAGGTATTGACACAAACCAAACCAAACTATTCATCGATATAAATCTAAGAGGTGGGAGGGAGCACACAAGACTTTGCTGTGGGGGCCACTTTTACCTGAGGCTTTGTGTTAGTGTGGGTACAGTAGAGAAACAAATCCACAGAAAATCATACATATATAAGAGAGAGTTTTATATAAAGGGTAAGTGTACATTAAGAAAGCAGCCCGACCCAGTGCTGTCCAAGCCCATAAGTCCAACATTAGCCGATATGTCCAACACTGATTTACAAAGATCTCCTCAATCTCACAAAACACACACAATGATGCCGACTGCAGGAGGGCAGCCAAATCAGTGAGTGTATAAGCTTCTTAGCGCTGGCAAGGGTCTCCCACAGCTGCTCCAGCACCCAGGGCTGCATCAGGGTAGATCCATGTGGCTTCTCAGGGATGTCTTGCAGGAAGTGAGCCTTGCCAGCTGAAGCAGGAAACTGGCTAAGGCAGCCGCATCCTGGTCTGACCCTCAAAGAACAAGAGACCTGAGAACTAGAAAGGCGAGACTCACGGAGCCATTTTATCTCTCCGCCCTTCAATTAATCCCATATGTGCTTATTGGCCAGGTTGGCACAATAAACCTTAACTATCTCAGGCTTCAAATTTCCTATGTGTAGAAAAAGGAGAATTCCATTGATCATGGGTCAGCTTGCTCCGAGGGTCCCAACAGGGATGTGCTATGTCATGAGAGTAATGACAGAATAGACAGGGAGATGGCATGATGAGAGATGTTGTCTCTGGTGGTGGGAGAGTATCACAAACATTCCAACAGACCCTGACCTCCCTCCACGGTCCAGCTTCTAGACAAGTGATTTGATGATTTTAGTTGAGAAACAGGCATATGAAAGATAGGGAAGTTCTTTCTCCAATACCACTGTAATCCCTGCTCTTGCATAAAATAATTCTTCATGAAAGACTAAGCCTTTTAAGACTCTGGAATGGGTGGTTCCATTATAATGAATAGGGTTACACACACAAAATAATCTGTCTTGGTTTCATTGCCAGAGGCTGGGTGGAAAACCCAGAGATGTCTTCATTCCCTCTGTCCCAAAGGAAGCATTGATAGCATATATGTTGTTAGTGGCCATCTGAGTGGATTTCAAATCCATGGTGGCCCCATGTGTGCAGAGTGAAACTGTGCTCCACAGAGTTTTTGAAGGCAATGACCTTTCTGAAGCAGATTGTCAGGCCTGTCTTCTGTAACACCTCTGGGAGGATTTGAATTACCAACCTTTCGAGCCAGTAGTGTCTAACTTTTTGTGTCACTCGAAGACTCCTAACAGCACAGATCTAAAAGGTGTTGCCATGGAGACTGATTCCTACAGGGCAGAGTAGAGCTGCCCCATAGGGTTGACAGAAGCAGACTGTCCCCTCTGTCTCCCACAATACAGCTGGTGGGTTTGAACACTGAGCTTTGGGTTAGCAGCTGAATGCTTTCACCACTATGCTACCAGGGCTCCAAGTTGCACATATTGGACCCGGCATTTATAAATCCTTTATCAGGGCCCAGGCCTTAAGAGAAGACTGAATGCCATTTCTCCAGCCAGGTCTGTGCTTGGTAACTACACAATTGGTTGACACGCATGAAGAAGGGGCTCTGGGTCCATCCCACTCCTTACCTTCATTTCTTTTCCTGCAGCATTTCGGAGCTTTCCAATGAACGACACTGAGATCCGAATAACACTTGACCCTAGTAGTGATGTCAACATTTGGTCAACATTTCAACTCTTGGTAGGTTCTGAAGTTAAGGATTTGACTCCTCTGCTCACAGAATGGTACTGTCCATTGACACCTGGACCCTCAATCCTAGCACATATTCCTGTAGGTATCAAACCAATTCTGACTGCTGAGAGCTTCAGGGGGTAGGGGGTGGGAGGTTAGCTCGAATGGACCTGGCCCAAAAGGCCCCGCTGGCAGAGAACATGAGCTTCTGCATCGACTACTTGGGTAAGCAGCCTTTAACATTTCAGTTGTATTTGAGCCAGATCCCCTGTGGGATTCTACCATGGGGTTCTTCACAAGTTAAGTTGTTGTTGGCACATGAGAGACAGCCTCTTTCTTGGCCTCTTTCTTTCCTGTCTTTTCCATTGGGTTACTTATTTACAGGGGTAGAACTATATTTCAGAACCTCAAAGAGTTGGAAGGGACCCTTAGGGATGATAGAAATTGTAGCTGACACTTATTAACCTTCTACTACATGGCAGGTGTGGCAGGTGTATTAAAGGCACTATTTCTAATCCCCACAAATGCTTCAGGGGCTCTGTGACCATCATCTGTGCAGAAAGGACACATAGGGCTTAGGCAAGGCAGTGTATAGCACAGTGGTCAAGGACACAGATGTGCTTTCAGCTCCCAGCTCTGCCACTTAGCAGAGGTTTAGTGTTTCTTAAGCTCCCTGGCTCAGGAGGGGAGTCTAACAGTCATTCCTCCACATTGTGGTAGTGAGTTCATCTGCCCAGTGCCTGCCACATAGTAGGGATGATGTGAGGGTCAGTTACTACAATGGAGAGGCTAAGTGATTTGAGCACAGTCCTATCAAAGCCAGGAAGGAATCCCAGCCAGTCAGCTCCACCGCCTGTGTTTTACACACCAGGAAACATGAGTGAGAGGGAAAAAGACTCGCCCCGGTCAACCAGGTGCTTTGTGGCTGTCCTACACCTAGAACCATCTCTGATGTCCACTCCACAAACAATGCATCATTTGTTGTACTAAAACGCTCTCAGATGAGGCCCCTTTGACCTCTGAAAGGTTCAAGTCCAATCTCTTGGAGAATACACGATGAAGCATCTACAAATTCTTTCCCACCTTGTGTTCACCAGCCCCTGACTTCTGCCTAACCACAGAGCATTTCACCACATTCAGAGGATGAACGTAGCAGAAATATAAACAGTGATTAGACTTTCTTCTAAATTATAATGAACTTCGACCTTTGGGAGCTTATCCATTCCATTTAAAACAAATATTCCAGATTGATCCCATCTAGACTTCCCTCTTTTCTCTGCCCCCACCAGTATGAGAAATCACTGCATTTTCAAACAGCACAAAAATGGACATCCCTAGCTGGTTTAAACCCCAGACCTAGCAACAATCCTGTTAGTCAGAATGAGAGGAACAAGAAGACAGAAACACATACAAAAACATAGGAAAATGAGCTCTTATTTATTCCCTCCTGAAGTCTCCCTCTGCTTTCATTCAAGTTTCCCTCCCTCCAGATGAGGAGAAACACATCACAACCAACCCCAATTTTGCTCTCAGCCTCAAAAGAGGAATCACAGAGGTTTAGCAAAGACAGCATGGTGGGAGCAAGTGCCTTATGGGGTAAAGGGATTTTTCAGAGGCCTGACCTCAGATGTCAAAGTCTCCATCACCAGCCCTCCCCCCAGGTACCAGCGTGTCTGCTGCCCACCAGCCTCCAAGGTCAATGGCACAGCATCGGATGAAGTCTTCACCAATTCAGGCCCGGTGAGGGCTCCCAGGTACCTTGGTCCCCACCCTGAGAGAGCCCCTTTGAGGTCACGGTCAGACTGCTCTGGGAAGTCACACTGCTCACATCTCCATGAATGGCAGGGTCGGTGTCTCAGACTCGGCCTTCCCTGCTCATTGTCCATGCGGAGTGATGCCACTTGTTCTTCGGCTCCCAGGTGATGGACGGAGGTCACTGTGTGCTAGGCACGGAAGCAGGCGGTGTCGTTTTGAATGAGCAGGTGGGAGAGAGAGACTATCAAAGGAGAAGGTAGGTGTGAACGTGCGAGGCGGAAAGGTGGATTGCATCAACTAGCCAGAGAAGAAGCTGCATCTAGGTGTAGCTAGAGGAACAGACAGAGACTTATGAGGGCCGGGGCTCTTAGAACAGCTGGAGACACGCACACTTGCCACCAAGTGCAAAACGAAGGACAAGCATTTGTGCTGGGCTGGAGCAGCCATTCTGCCCAGCTCACTTGGAGACTAGCATGCAGACAAACTCTTCGTAATTCACTTGCCCGTCTCCATCCGTGTCCGCTGCTCGGATCATTTCGTCTACCTCTTCATCGCTCAGCTTCTCCCCCAGCCTGGTCATCACGTGCCGCAGCTCAGCTGCGCTGACAAAGCCATTGCCATCCTTGTCGAACACGCGGAAGGCCTCCCGGATCTCCTCCTCACTGTCTGTGTCCTTCATCTTCTTCGCCATCATGCTCAGGAACTCGGGGAAGTCCACCGTGCCGTTGCCGTCGGCATCGATCTCGCGGACCATGCCCTGGAGCTCGGCCTCTGTGGGGTTCTGGCCCAGGGACCTCATGACGGTGCCTAGCTCCCGGGTGGTAATGCTGCCGTCTCCATCCTTGTCAAACAGAGAGAAGGCTTCCTTGAACTCTGCGATCTGCTCCTCTGTCAGCTGGTCAGCCATGCTACTCGGGGGGGCTGCACCTGGACCTGGGCTCCTGAGCTCTGGCTGGCCCCTCAGTACTGGCAGCCGGCTGGGCGATGCTTCCCACGCTCAGGAATGACAAGGGGAGATCCAGTGGGCGGGCCGCCGGTCTGGTTTTCTAGCCCTGGCTTGAATCACTGGCACTTAAGAAGGGGCAGAGTCCTCCTTCACCATTGGTCTGGCAATTGGGCTGCCATTCGAAGACTCCTCCGCCCTGCGGTTGCCTGGAGGCCTGGTCCTGTTTAGACACGAGTCCAGAAGTGGGAACACGGTTGGTTGGCTAATTGAGCTGACGCCAGCACTTCTTTTTGTGAAAGACAGTCAGGTTTCCATCCTGACATCAGACGGAGCCTCGATTAACTACCTGCAATAATACTGTCAACGAAGGTGTGCTGGTTTACAGGGAGAGAACTGACTTGTGTTTTCCCCCCTTTCCTATCTTCCTCCCTAACTCCCCAATCTTCCACCTGTCCCCTAGTCTCCCCAACTGATGTTGTGTACTTTCTTCGCCTCAATTGTCAACGTGTGTTGAAGAGTAACAGCAGATATCGCCTCTGATGAAAACGACATCCATTCTTCGTCTTTTCTTTGATTTCCAAAAGACAAAGGATCTTTAAAGAAAGAGGTCCAAAAAAAGGGGGTGTCCCCTGCCCCCCTCTCTCTTCTTTCCCTCCAGGTGGGAGCAGAAAATCCGAAGGTCTTCTTGTCTCCAGAATAAACACGAATGCAGAGGATAATCTCCGATCTGTATGTTCATCCACAAGCGTCCATGGAAGGCTTCCTACGTGCAGTACTTTTCCAGAGGCTGCGAATTAGGCTGGGAACCAGTCCTCTGGAAATGTACCTTCCATCAACCAGACATCTAGTCGGCAAGTGCACTAATTACACTAATAGAGAAGGCCAAACAACATGATGACAGATTTAAAAACTAAATAAACGTGTGATTGTGAATCAGGTGAAGGTTGACAGGTAGATCATCAGTTTTACATGACATGATTCAGACACACTTTCTTTTAACTCTTTCATTGCAATCCTCTCAGTGGGCACCATCATTTACCCCGCTTCCTTCCTGTGTTTCCTCTTCCACCCCTCCTTCATTCCTAACCCTCTGCACTTTGCCCTGGGGTAAGTGCTCCCCTTTTGATCTTTGGTGGCTGATTATTCTAACATGAAGGTGATTTCCGTTCCAAACCCGAAGGGTGACAAATCACCGGTGTCTGGAGAGTCTGCCCAGTCTTTGTTGAACTAGTAAGCCTAGTCTTTCTCATGATTTTGGGTATTTACCGAGTTTTAAAAGAATAAATGCTATGAGGTAAATTTTTTAAAGGTGATGAGAGCGGAGGTAATTTTTATAAGGACGGTGAAAGAAGGCCCCTCTCTGAGATGAGGGTGACCTTGAGGAAAGGGAGGGACTTGCCAGGCAGAGAGGCTACAAGCAAATGTAAAGTGCAGTGTGGGAGAGGACCTGGCATGGTCCAGGACAGCAAAGAGGTCAGGGTGACTGTGGCAGTGAGCGAGGGGCATGAAGACCAACCTTCTTTGACATGGTAAATAATTCAAATTGTATTCTCACATTGATGGAAAAATCCCTAGAGTGTAATGAGCAAGGGGAATCACTAAGCACCCCGGAGGGCATGGAGCCAGGGCTGAAGGAACGAATAGCTCTGAAAGGAGACATTCTCAAGAAAGAGGAGTTGAAAGTCCATCCGTACAGAGAATCACTTCCCCCAAACCAGGAAGCCTTGGGAAATGATTGCCCACAATGTAAGGAGTTGCTTCCACTGTGGGGGACCAAAAACTCTGAAGTGGGAAAGCAAGATGGAGACTCCCCTTTGTTTACTTTATTGGGTGTGGGGAAAGGAGTTTGGGTGGATACGCGGTCAAGTTTCGTTATGTGTTCTGGATTGAATGATGTCCCCTCAAAATCTGTTGTTAATCCTACGCTACACGGCGGTGGTTATAATCCCATTTGAGAATGGGTTTTCTTTGTTATGTCAGTGCGGCATGAGAGAGATTAGAATAAAAGACCAAACAATCAAGTGAAGTTCCAAGACCCATGGGAATCTCCAAGGAACCAGGAAGCAGAAGCTCAAGAGATAGGGACCTCGACCCAAAGTCAACAGAATAGACGGCCTTCCCCTAGAGATGGTGCCTTGATTCGAACATCTAGCTTCCTACACTATGAGAGAAGAAACGTCTGTTTGTTAGAGCAATCCCCTGTGATATTTCTGTGATAGCAGCAAGAGATAACTAAGTCAGAATTTGGTACCGGATTCCTGAAATATGGAAGCAGTTTGGGAATTAGGCTAGTGGGTAGAGGCTGGAAGAGTTTTAAGGTGCCTAATAGTAAAAGGGTAGATTGCCTTGAAGAACCTGTTTCTAGAATTGGGAACATCAAAGACAGTTCTGGCAAGGGCCCAGAAGGAAGTAAGGAGAGCTTTAGAGAAAGTCTCTGTTGTCTTAGAGAATACATATGGCACCAGCACCAGAATGCTGCCAGAAATGTGGGCCGTCAATGTGCTTTGGGTGAAGCTTTAAAAAAAAAATAGAATGAGTTTCTTTTCTTCCCTGGCTTCTTGAGTGTCTGCCCGCCACCCTGAATGACAGTACCTATTTGGACCAGGAAGCTCAGGGCCAACCAACTACTTCAGAAACAAATAGCCATTGGTATTCACCCTGGGCAGGCAACAGCACCTAAGACAGAAATTCGAGGAATATTATCCAAAATGTACAAGACCACACCAAATGTCACCTTTGTAGTTGGATATCGAATTCACTTAGGTGGCAGAGAGACTGACTAACTCTGGTATGATTTATGCTTCCTTGGACTATACAAAGAAAACTGAACCCAAACATAGACTTGCAAAACACGAGAGGAAACACACCTTAAGAAAACAGTACGAGGAATGAGAGAAGAGAAGGAAGACGGTCGGGGGGCCTGCGAAGGCCAAGGAGAGAATGAAGACTGTGACAGGGCTTCATCTGTGATGGGGTGTGGCTTCTTCACCAGAGGATTAATAAACTATAAAATCTTCTTTAAAAAAATAAAAGGAATGCGATGAGCATGTGATTAGATAATAGAGGAAACTGGCTGTTTTTTAATGCAAAGGATTCATCTGGATTATGTTTAAATGTTTGGTGGTGGAAGGTAGAATTTGTAAATGATGACACTGGATATTTGGGTAATGAGATTCTCAAGCAAGACTTAGAAGAGATGTGTGATTTTGCTGCTTTAGAAAATGGATGAGGAGAAAAGGTGGACTTCAAAACAAACTGTGCAGAAGGCAACAAAATTTAAAGATTTGGAAAATTCAGTTGTACAAACTAAGGACTTGGGATGTTCATCAAGAACATAGATACACAATCTTTAAAATACAAAAAAAAAGATTAAGCCTGTGACTGTAGAATCTAACCAAGTACCACAATACAAAACTCATCCATTTAGACCAGTGGTTCTCAACCTTCCTAATGCCAGACCCTTTCATACACTTCCTCATGTGGGGGTGACCCCCAACCATACCATTCTTTTCGTTGCTACTTCATCACTGTCATTTTGCTACTGTTATGAATCAGGTGACCCCTGTGAAAGGGTCGTTCAACCCCGCAAAGCAGTCGCAACCCGCAGGTTGAGAATCGCTGATTTAGACTGAAGAGGCCAGAGAAAGAAAGATGCTGCTGCCTGGCTCTTGGAATTCTACAGGCAGCAAACAAGCCGCAGCAGCTACATCTGCTGTCCTCCAAGAAAAGAAAAGAGCCATTTCTGGAGCTCAGCAGCAAGACTGGGGAAAGAACAGGAAACAAAGCTGTCTCCTTTTCAATGGACGGGGTCATGAACTCTCGGGTCTCAAAGGATGTGGCCACAGCCTGCTAGATGTGTCGACTCAGATCTGGAGTGCGAGACTGCCATTACCATGTGCTGGGGTGTGGAATTGCCACCCAAAGCTGAGGAAGCAGGACTCCCGTGCCCAAGGGGCATGCGAACAGAGCTTACTGGAGCTGAACGGTTAGAGTTTCCACTCTATTGGACAAGGAGAATGGGCCTCCCCAAACCAAAAGAGCAGAGTTGCTGTCCTGTAAGACAGACCAGAACCATAGGGCCAAAGGGGCCGCATCCAGACTCTAGAAATAAAGTCCCACACCCTTAATAGGAGGGCAGAGACACTGCCTAATTGATTCCAGAGAACAGAGGCTTATTTCCAAGCCTTGAGCACTAACTAATATAAATTGTTCTACTAAAATTTGGACTTGCTTGATTCCAATTCACTTCAACCTTCCCCATTAAAAAAATTTATTTTTAAAATAACCACCACAAATATATATGTATTTATATTAATACACAGAACATATGAACCTGGCCAAAGAGCTTGAGCCCAATTTTCTGCTTTCTTTTTTAAAAAATCATTCTACTGGGGACTTGTACAACCCTTATCACAATCCATCCATCCATCCATTGTGTGAAGCACCTTTGTACATTTGTTGCCATCATCAGGGATCAGGCATCAAAGACCAAAAAAAAAAAAAAGTCATAGCATTGTGAATGGGGGAGTGCGGAATGGGGACCCAGGGCCCATCTGTGGGAAATTGGACATCCCCTTGCAGAAGGGCTGAGGGAGGAGACGAGCCAGTCAGGGTACAGTGCAGCAATGATGAAATATACAATTTTCCTCTAGTGAATGCTTCCTCCCCCCACCCTCCACTATCATGATCCCAATTCTACCTTACATATCCGGCTGGACCGGAGGATGTACACTGGCACAGATAGGAACTGGAAAGACAGGGAATCCAGGACAGATGAACCCTCAGGACCAGTGGTTAGAGTGGCGGTATCAGGAAGGTGAGGGAGAAAGGGGGAACAGATTACAAGGTCTAGATATAACCTCCTCCCTTGGGGACGGACAGCAGAGAAGTGGGTGAGGGAGATGTCGGATGGTGTAAGATATGACAAAATAATACTAATTTAGAAATTATCAAGGGTTCAG